ATACCTTTGTTTTATGTGGTGCTGAGGATTGAATCCTTGCCTCACATGTGCTAGGCAAGTGCTCTACCACTAAGCCGCAACCCCAGCCTGAGATTCTGTCTTAAAATAAAAAAATAAAAAGGTCCAGATGCCGTGGTGCATGCCTGTAATCCTAGTGGCTCAGGAGGCTGAGGCAGAAGGATTGTGAGTTCAAACCCAGCCTCAGCAATTTAGCAAGGCTCTAAGCAACTCAGTTAGACTTTGTCTTTGTCTCTAATAAAATACCAAATGGGCTTGGGATATAGCTCAGTGGTTAGGGGCCCCTATATTTAATCCCTGGTACCAAAAAATAAAATAAAAAGGGCTAGAGGTGAGGCTTAGTGGTAGAGCACCCCTGTTCAATCTCAATAGTTCAATAACAACAAAACAAAAACCCCTCAAGTCTACGTGAGTTAAAATCCAGACTACAAATCACATTTAAAAAACCAGTAAGGGGCTGGGGATGTGGCTCAAGCGGTAGCGCGCTCGCCTGGCATGTGGGCGACCCGGGTTCGATCCTCAGCACCACATACAAACAAAGATGTTGTGTCCGCCGAGAACTAAAAAAAAAAAAAAAAAAAAAAAAAAATATTAAAATATTCTCTCTCTCTCTCTCTCTCCTCTCTCTCTCTTTAAAAAAAATATTAAAAAAATAATAAATAAATAAAAAACCAGTAAGGAGGGATTTCCTAAAGAAGCCAATGAAAATGATCAAAGAATATGAACAGGCACCTCAAAAAAATATGGTTAACCTACGTGTGAAAATAGACTACTCACTAGCACTGGGCAAAATGCCAACTTGTACCACAATGAGCCATTACTATGTTCCTAAGACTGAGGCAGAGAGCTGTAGCAATGGCGACTCTCATGACCTGCGGTTGGGAGGGCAAATCCTCACACCATTTGGGAAGTGACTGGATGAAGGTGCTCATGCCATGACCCAGCAAGGCCTTTCCCTTCTGTCCAGGTACAGAGAAACAGTGTATCTATCTGCAGCAGTGCTATTTGCAGTAAGTAGAAAAAAAAAATCAGACACGGGGAGCATGAATCAGTGTTGGCTGTTCACACGACTGAGCACAGTGTTCAAATGAATAAATGACATTTTATCCACATGGACAAATCGTGCCCCGAACTTTGTTGACCAGAAGAAACAACCAGCAGGAGGACACGCTCAGTTCACCACTTATAAACTGTGCGGCCTGTGTGGTGACCAGGCCTGTGCTCCCTTCGTTCCAGGCCAGCCTCAGCAAATTATGAGACCCTGTCTCAAAAAATAAAAAGGGCTGGGGGTGAGGGTCAGTGGTAGAATGGCCACTGGTAGGACTGGTCTGATTTGGGAATGCTCATATACACAATAGAGTCTTAGAGGATGTATAAGAGTGAGGGCCATTAATACAGGTCAGGGCCCACTTCTGAGGGAGGACTACCCGGTAGGGGAGAGGGCCTGCGAGGGCTTTGGACATGCTTTTAAGGTAGGGGATTAGTCATGGCGCTAGTTATTTTTTTTTAATTCTTGTATGTTTGAATGTTCAGTAATGAAACTCACGTGCATCTGCCCATATACCAAAATCTCAGGAACATGAACTGTAATAGGGTGAGGGTGGCGTCTTCCTTTCTTGTACTAGTGTTTTCTGACATTTCTTCTGGAGCGTATCATTCTTCTGTGGCAAAATGCTATAAAAGGGTTTCAGTGAGAGGGATGTATTGTCTGTCCTGGAGATGCGCAGGGAGGGACCGCCCCTCTGTGCCCAGGACCGCTCTCCTCCGGTTCTGAAAGCGTCCCCCTCGCGTGCGGCCCGCGTCCAGCAGAGGGCGCCAGAGAGGCCTGCCCCAGGCCATCCTGGTCCAGGCTCTCTCATCCCTGCAGCAGAGGCCTGTTCAATTTTTCTCCTGGAGCCTACCTTCATCTCTGCTCACGAATGCATATTTCCCCCAAATCATGAGAATAGATTCACTAAGTTAAAATAATGATTTCCAATGTGTACACACATGCCAGGAAAAGCCCACAGCTGCGAGGTTCCCACAAGGCAGCCGTGTGGGGCGCTGGAAACAGCTGGTCTGAATACCCACCGAGGACTTAGAATAAAAATAGACATAGGAAATGTCTGGTTAATAATCCAAGAAATTCTGATTGTATGTTCAAATAATATTTTGGACATACTGGCTTAAAATATACCATTGAAATTAATTTCATTTGTTTCTTTTAAAAAATTCATCATACATTTTCTTATTGGACACTATCACATCACATACTCGGCCCACACTGCATTTCTACTGGACAGCCCTGGTCTGGAAAGAATGTTAGCAACAGCAAGATGCCAGTGAGGTTTCCCCATAGGGTGTAGAATCACAGCTTGTTTTGATATTACTGTTTGGCTTTCCCGTATTTTCAATTGTTCTAGTTTGAATTTGTAATACTTGTAAAATAGAATGAAAATGTTAAGGGGCTGGGGATGTGGCTCAAGCGGTAGCACGCTCGCCTGGCATGTGCGCGGCCCGGGTTCGATCCTCAGCACCACATACAAACAAAGATGTTGTGTCCGCCGATAACTAAAAAATAAATATTAAAAATTCTCTCTCTCTCTCTCTCTCCCCCCTCTATAAAAAAAAAAAAAAAGAAAATGTTAAGGAAACTACTTCCAGCCTTCTTTTTTAACATTTTTTTTGAAATAGTTGTAGAAAAATAACACGTTTGTTTTATTTATTTCTATGTGGTGCTGAAGACCGAACCCACGGCCTTGTGCATGCTAGTCATGCACTCTACCACTGAGCCACAACCCCAGCCACGCCCAACCTGCTTGGAAGTGAGCTATTTGGGTGTCACTGGCCTGGGTTTTGCTGCACTGGGAGTGAGRCAGAGTGCGAGGAGGTTCAGACCACCATGTAACATGGGAGAAGGGAACTGAAGCTCCCAACCCCAGTTCTTGGGTTCCCATGGGAGAAGCCAAGCAGGAGGACTCTGCCTAAGTGCAGAGCAGCTAGGGAGCACTCTGGGGGAGGGGGAGGGACCCATCAGAGGACAACCAAGGAGAAGTGCGGCTTCCAGACCGATGCTGTTCCACCTTTGCCAGGAGAACTGCAGTCGTCTTTACCAAGCAGATGCTTATCTGCTGCTTCAGGAGGGGAGTTTCTGACCTTATTTTGTCTGGAACTGTCATGGCAGCCATTCTATTCAGGGGGTTTCATCTACAAGTCAATCTTGTGTTAATCTGGGCTCTGGGGTCAATGTCTGGGCACACTTAGTGCACCTGCACTATGGCTGCTGGTTGTGGTGGCATACCCCTGTAATACCAGAGACTCAGAAGACTGAGGCGGAAGGATCACAAGTTGAGGCCAGCCTCGGCAATTTAGTGACGTCCCAAGGAACTTAGTGAGACACTATCTCAAAAAATAAAAAGGGCTGGAAGTGGCTCAGTGGGAAACGCCCCTTGGTTCAATCCCTGGTACCAAACCAAACCAACCCACCAACCAACCTGAGGCCATAAGTCCTGACTGTACAATGACCTCAGTAGACCCTGCCAGGAATTAGCTTTACTTATCTTTTTTCCATGGCATATTTCTTAATTGACTCCCTTTATTTCCACTTGCTTATTCTCAGGGTTAATACATGTGTTATTTTTCTACAAGTTATTTGATTTCTCATTTGCCTTAAAACTAATTTAAAGAATCCTGTGACTCTGCCACATTACTGGCTTGCATTCCACTGCTCATTACTAGACCTCACAACGGAACTTCCAGAACCTCTCCTCACTTTCCTCTGGCTTAGTTGATGCCATAAATTAAAAAGCAAGCAAACCTTGACAGCACAGTTTTTCCAGCTCCACAAGCTGTTGCAATGTCAGTGGCGATTTTCAGTCTGTCAAAATTCCTTTTTCCCCTGGGGCATTTCCTGTCTCCTAGCCCAGCCCAGCAGGCCACTGGGAACTGTAGCTCCACTCCCACCTGCAAAATCCCCAGCTTTGTGCACCCTTCTGTATGCATTCCCTTCGACTCACAGGTATTTTTAAAGAAGCAATGACAAAAGTAGGACAGGAAAAGGATCCCCACACTCAGCAGCCTCTGGCCCACTCTGCCTGGAGCCTCACCTCCTTTGGTGTCTCATGAACACTTAGAGGGGTTTCTGCCCTTAGCCCTAACTCTATTCCCTGTTACCCCTAGGCAGACACCATAATAATACTGGTCCCGGAGCTAAGGAACAGGTCCTTGTTCTTGGTGTTGAAGATAAACACCTGAGGAACGCAGGCAAGCTAGCAAGTATGGTTTATTTAAGAAAGTGATGGAGACAGACTTCTGTGGAAAGAAGGGCCCCAGAGCTGGGAGTCCACAGGAGGGGATGGTCTTGCTTTTTTATAGACCCCAGAACCCCTCTTTTAGTCATTGCCTTCTCTTTCTTCTCTGACTCTGTGCCTGGGAACTGGGAGGATGGAGTTAATAGCCAGGAGCTATTGAGAGGTTAGCAGTGTGATAACCAGTCTCATCCTCTCTGTCCCCCCTCATTCATCATCTACGCAGACTTGCCCCTGCCTCAGCTTGCTAAGGAATGTGACATATCCTGTSTACTCAGGACAGACTGGCTGCAGGACGATTGCTTTTTGGCAAAGAAAGCCTGTGGGGTTCAGTATATGGACTAATTTTATAGAATTATTCTCTTAACTTCGTGTGTCCACCATCCTCATCTATTTGTCCCCTTCCAATAACACGAAGGGATGCCATAGCAAAACCATCTCAAAGCTCTCTATTTCAAGAAACATGTATCTTGAGGGGCTGGGGGTGTCGCCCCCTCCCCCCCTGCGAAAATGGTACGCAGGAGACCAGCCTGTCATCTCCGAGGCACCAGCTGTCGGGACCGCCCTCTGACAGAGGTGGTGAAGCACATTAGACCAGCTAGTGTCTCCAGGGCTGAGCGAGAGGGTAAGTATCGCGACCTCGCCTGCCACCCAACCTGGCCCACAATCACACTGAGTCGGGAGATGAGTCAACCATGAAGGTGCAACAATCCCAACTTTATTGTGTCAGGGACAAGGTTACGTAGTGATAGAAGGAGTAAGAAGAGACAGTAGCAAAAACCAATAAGGAGCAGTTCCGGCACTGTCACTAAGGGGCCTAGGCAGATTTCAGATTAAACCATTAGTTGGGACTAAAGTCAAAAGACAGCGCCCGCCAKTCCAGCCAGGTCACGCATATGGAAATGCTGACCCCTGAGGCYGCCTCAGCCAACACCCAATAATGGCCGCGGTTCCAAGGTCCCAACAGCGGGCAGGAGAGAGGGGCTAGACGGGAAGAGGCAGGGATGAGGAATTAAAACTGCTCCGCTGTCAAGGCTGGATCAGGAAGACTAAGTGCTTGGCTCAGCCAGGACCCACCAGAAGGGGCAAGAGTAGTCCCCTCTGGGGGATGAAGGAGGGGAGGTGGAACTGCTTCTGTGTCTTCCGAATTCCACACGGATGAACGGGTCAGCTGAGATTAAAGAACGAACTTGTCAGGAACCCCGAGTGGCCCCTGTGGCTTTAGCGACTCTCCCTACTGCTGGACTTCTCAGCAGGTCCTTCCTGTCCCCATGGGTGTCACCAAAAGAAGCTAGACAGCTTCTGGGCGACATTTGAAATGGCTTCTTCCCATTATGAGAATCCCACCAACCCACCCGAGACTCTGACATCACCTAGGGCGGTATTCACTAACTTTAGGGACCGAGGGTGGAATCCCGGGGTGCTCTACCGCAGAGCTTCATCCCAAGTCCTAACTTTTTTTTTTTTTTTTTGGTACCAGGGATTGAACTCGGGAGCCCTCGACCACTGAGCCACATCCCCAGCCCTATTTTTGCATTTTATTTAGAAACCGGGCCTCACTCAGTTGCTTCGTGCCCTCCATTGCTGAGGCTGGCTTTGAACGTGCGATCCTCCGGTCTCGGCCTCCCAAGCTGCGGGGATGGCAGGCGTGGCCACCGCGCCGGGCCCCAGCCCGGACTTTTTTCTGAGACGGGCGGGATCTGGCTGCGTGGCGGAGCTGGCCCTCCCCAGCCGACGTGACGACAGGCGGCGCCACCCCGCCACCGAGCCGGGGGAACCAGGACCTCCGGGCAGTTTTCCGGAAAGTAATTCTGGTGGAGGCGGGCCCAGCAGTCGCGCCTGCGGCATCCGTCCGGGGTCCCAGGTGAATGCGGAAATCCCCCACACGACACAGCCAAACAGCGCCGGCCACATCTCCCTCGGTTCCACTCCCCCCGGCCTCCTCGGCACTTCCTTCGGTGCAGCGCCCGGCGGCTACCCAGAACGCGAACCGCCGGCCGAGGCCCCGCCCCTAGACCTGGCCCCGCCCCCTAGACCTGGCCCCGCCCCTAGTCTTGGCCCCGCCCCCTAGGCTTGGCCCACTTCTACCGCGAGGCCGGCCGCCGCCCTGAGCGGCTCGGCCCTGCCCCCGAGGCTCGGCTCCGCCCCTCCAGCCAGCTGCGCGGTCCCCGGGAGACCTCGCCCCAGTCGGCCGTCCCGCCTGCTCCAGTCAGAGTCGGCGGTGTCGCTCTCAGCCCCGGCAGCCCGCGGTCGTCTCCAGGTCAGTCCCCACGCGCTGCGTCACCCCGAGGCCAGTGTGACGCCCGGCTAGCTCAGGCGGCCCTTCCCCGCGCCGGCCTCAGTCGGGCGCCCTGTGGATGCGCGCCGGGCGCCACTGCGGTCCTAGCGACCCGGCGCGACTCGCACTCCCCGGGCGGAGCGGCGGGGAGGAGGGGCCGGGCGACGGTTTCCGGCGGTTTCCGGCGGTTTCCGGCGCGCCCCAGGAGCTGGTCGCGCCGGTGCGTACCGCGGGGCACGCTGGGAGCCCGGGCGGGGTGGCGGGCGCGCCTGCGTGGTGCGCCTCTTGGCGGTGGGGACCTCGTGACGGTTGGTGTCTCCCAGCCACGCCCGCAGGCCTGGCGCCGCCTGTCCGTCTCCCCTCCGTTGAGCGACCCGTGATTTTATTCTCTCGAAAGAAGCGGCATTTCTGGTTTCTCGCTCCCCGAGAACTGCAGGGTCGTGACGGGGCTCGGGTGGCGCCGCCTCGCACGGTGGGGACTCGGGGGGCAGCTCAGGTGCGGAGGAGAGGCAGGTAACCGAGACCGCCCTCTTGGGGCCGCGGGGAGGCTGTGGCCTGAAAGAAGCTGAGGCCCCAGGCACTTTGTGCCAGCAGGTGTCCGCGTCTGGGCCGCGACAGCTGGTGGGGCTAGAAAGCTTGGAAATCTCCAGATAACGTGACCACCTGTACAGTTCGGTTGAATCAGTTGGATACAAACAGACTAATTGCACATAATGCGGCCATTGGAAGTACTTTTTATTTTTTGGTGCTGTGAATTTARCCCAGGAGCGCTTACATCTGAGCTACATCCCCAACCCTTTTTATTTTTTATTTTGAGACAGTTGCTGAGGCTGGCCTCGAACTTGTAATCCTCCTGCCTCAGCCTCCCAAGTCGCTGGGATTATAGGCATGCATCACAATGCTGGACAGTACATAACGTTTTTCACTTTTTTTTTTGTACCCAGGATGGAGCCCAGGGGTGCTTACCACTGAGCCACAACCCCCAGCCCGTTTTTGTATTTTATTTAGAGACAGGATGTCCTTGAGTTGCTGAGGCTGGCTTTGAATTAACTATCCTCCTGCCTTAGCCTCCCGAGCCCCTGGGATTACAGGTCTGTGGCCACCACTTCTGAGTAGAGATTATTGTAGAAATTGCAACAAGTGTTAGTTTCCTAGCTGCTATGATAAAGTTGCCACATATTTGTTACTTTATAGTTCTGGAGGTCAGAAGTTCAGAATGTACTAGGGGCTTAAAATCAAGGTGTGTGTGTATGCGGGGGGAGATGTTCTGATTCCTTGTGTAAGCTTCAAAGGAGAATCAGTTTGTTGGCCTTAATCAGTGTCTTAAGAATCTGCCTCCCTCCAGTTTTAAACCCCAGTTTGTAGTGCCCTTGTGATCACTCTGGGCCACTCAGATAAATCAAGGCAATATCCCCCTCTCAACATCAGCCTTAAAATTGCTGCACCTCTTTAACCCCAGCATCTCTGGATACTGAGGCAGGAGGATCACAAGTTCAAGGCCAGCCTGGACAGTTTAGCAAGAGCCTCTCTCAAAATAAAAAGGGCTTCATGTGGCTAGGTGGTTCAGTCCCCAGTCCTGTCCCACACACAAAAAACCAGAAGTTGGTTGGACACAGTGYGCCCAGAGGCTCACTGAGTCCTCCACTCGCCCGTTTCCTCACTCTCAGGCTACAGAAGCCCCTGCTAGAAGCCAGCAGTACCTTGTTTTCCTGCATCAAGGGGGAGAGGTGCTCCCTGTCTTCACTGATGGTCCTGAGCACCTGGCAGGTGCTGGACACACCCTGGGCCTGCTCTCTGGGGGGATCCTGGAAGGGTGTGTGTGCTCTCTGCCCAGCCTCCTGCTTTGCCTGGAACCCAGTTGGTGGGCCTTGTTTCTGGACACCCAGAGAACTATAGCAACATGTGTTGGCTGGCCTAGCCAAAAAATTTTCTCCCCAGTTGAGTAGCTTTTCACCTTATAACCCCAAAGAACTGGCCCTCCCAGTCCTCTGGTTAGTTCCTGGCTCCTGATTCCTGGGACTCTGTGCTGCCCTGGAACCATAAAGTTAGTTGAGATCTGCAGTGAGCATGGAGCCTAATGACTGAAACAGAACTCCAGTCCACCGCTTCTCCATCAGCTCCCTTGTCAGCTCGCTCCTTCTTTCAGACCTGCCTGGGCTGGCCTGGAAGCCTTCCCTGGCCTTTTCGTGGTACCAGATTGCCTTATTAAACTCCTTGAGGACTGAGAGACCTGGAACAGTGCCTTCCACACTGTAGATGCTCAGTGAAAAGTTGGATGGATGAATGCCTGTGCTTTCTAACAAGTGTGCAGGCATCTGAGGAGAGGGCCTGCTTCCCTAAGCTGTTCATGCCCACATGAGTTTTTTCAAACATCACAAGTGTTTTGCATGTTTAAAAAACTGTACCTCGCTGGGCACTGTGGTACAGGCCTGTAATCCCAGCAACTCAGGAGACTGAGATCCTCAGCAATTTAGCAAGGTGCTCTGAACTGGGAATGTAGGTGAGTGGTAAAAGGCCCCTGGGTTCAATATCCAGTATCCCCCAAAAAGTAAAAGCCAAGCCAGTGTACCCTTGTGGCTCTCCCCAGGCCAGTCAGAACTGTTTTAACTGGCAAGAGTTTGGGAGTATGTTACAAAATTATTAAGAGACTTAGATTGGGTCTGTGTTTGCATCCCAGCCCTTTCCCATGCTGAGGATGGAACCCAGGACCTTTGAATGGTAGTACTCTACCAGGAGGTTTGGTGACATACCCTGGGCTTCCTAGGGGACCCAGGCAGGACCGGTTTTGCTCATGTGCTCTGAGCAGCAAGCGGGGTTCAGTCAGGGCTCCTCATTGAGATGCTGGGTGACCAAGGTGTCCCCTGCCCTTGCTTCAGTTTCCCCTGTTGCAGGCCTGTGTGCCACGACCCATAAGGGCAACCCCCCAAGTTGGCTCCAAGGTGCTCCTCCTTGCTCCAGCCTGATCCAGCTCCAGGGAAGGGGCAGGACAAGGCCAGTTGTGCCAGACACTGGCGGCAGAGGGGAAGACACTCGGGAACCCTGCAGACCACATCATCCTGTAGTCACAGCCTTTGGGAAGGGCGCTAGGCTCTGCCTCTTGGGGAGAGAGCCCCTCAAGAGAAGCCCTTGCCCCACCCTTGCCTGCACTGGAAGCCCACCCAGCACGAGTCGCTTCTTCCAGGACCCCTCTGCTGCCCCTGCTGCTCCAGCTGGCCTGCTTGGCAGAGCTCAGGGGGTGTGTGGTCCACAGGGGTGACTTCCTCTTCCCCCTCTTCCCCAGACGTGTGGGTGCTGAGGTGCCATGTCCTCTAGGCTTCAGGAACACCCTTCAGTCAGTGATACCCTGGTTTTTTCAGGCTGTGACCTGCCTCTGTTCCAGCCTGGGCAGGGCCTGGGAGGGGCAGAGGAGGTGCCCTGGCCTGTCCTGGAGTCATGGAAGCTGTGGTCCTAGGGCTGCTGGGGAGGCTTCACCCACTGCTGTGTTTGGGCAGCTTCCATCCTGGACCCTGCATCTTGGAGGGCTCTGGCTTTGTGGACAGCTTGGCAGTGCCCTGTGGCACTGCCAACCCTGCCTGTTCTGAGAGTTCAGGAAGCCAGCTGAGCCCCCTTCTGGGGTTTCTACCCCCCTCCCACCATCCTTGCTCAGGTGAATAAGAGGCAGGGGCTTCCCAGCCCACACTTGCTGTCCTGCTTCTCCTGAGCAGGAGGTGCCAACTGTGGCTGTAGGCTGAGAGGAGAAACTGACATCTGTATCCCACTGCCGCGTCCCCAAGCTCTGCTGCTTGGGGTGACCTTTGCCAAGAGATACACATCTGCTCCTGGAGAATGAGCAGGTGGAAATTTTGAGGGAAGAAGGCGGAGAAAGCACCTGCCGGAGAGGCTGGAGCCCTTCTGGAAATGTCCACCTTCAGGGTTCTGTGTGGACTCTTCCTGCTAACAGGATCTCTGGTCTGCCAGGCCTTGGGAATCTGCRAAGGGTTCTCTTTCCTCTTTCTTTTGCCCAGACGACACTGCAGCCCACCATGAGTCTTGACATCCACTGTGAGCAGCTGAGTGATGCCAGGTGGACAGAGCTCCTCCCCCTGATCCAGCAGTATCAAGTGGTCAGGTATGGGCAGCCGCGGTGGGGTGGCGCTACGGACAGCCGCCTGCTTGGTGGCGATGCACTTGGGCATGCTGTGCTTGGGAGGCTGCTATTCATGGAGGCGAAGGTGCTTGATAGTTCTGAGAGGTGTGAAATGCTGTCCTGTGGGTTTTCCAGCYCTGGGCATCAGCTCAGTGGTACAGCACTTGCCTAGCACGTGGGTTCTGTCCCAGCACCACAAAGAAAGAAAAAGAAGAAAAAGTTTTTCTACACGAACCCTCACAGGCTTGAGTGGATGGCAGGTGCGGTGTGCGTTGGGGGCAGTGGCTGATGCACTAGGCGGCCGGGAACCTGGGCTCTAGGCCCCTCTCCGTCCTCAGGCCAGGCGCAGTGAGGCTTGGTGGCTGTGCTGCCCCTGTCACGCTCTGTCCTCAGCTTCCACTCACCCAGGTGCCTCAGGCTCACAGTTGAGACAGGCACCCGCTTGGTCCGTTTGTAGCTGTTATCAGAGATGGTTTTAGATAGCCTTCTGCCTGCTTCCCCGATGACCTCGTCTCATGGAGACTGTCACACTGCCCAGCATGTCCCACCAAGGACAAGCCCAGGCACCAGCTTTGTACCTGCATCCTTTTCCCTCTGGGTTGCCCAGG